AACCCGATATCGTTGTTACAAGCCAGTCTTCGAACACCGTCAGTGTTTTTCTCAACGCAGGCAATGGTACCTTTAATAATCAAACTACTTACTCAGTTGGCAATCAACCATATTCAATATCAGTCGTCGATGTTGATAGTGATAACAAACCCGATATTGTTGTTGCAAACGAGGGTTCCAGCACTGTCAGTGTTCTTCTCAACATAGGCAATGGCACTTTTAATGCTCAAACTATTTACTCCGTTGGCAATGATCCATATTCAGTAGCAGTCGTCGATGTGGATAGTGATAACAAACCCGATATTATCGTTGCAAATCGTGGTTCGAACACCATCAGTGTTCTTCTCAACACAGGCAGCGGCACCTTTAATACTCAAACTACGTACCCAGTTGGTATTAATCCATATGCAGTAGCAGTCGTCGATGTAAATAGCGACAATAAACCCGATATTGTTGTTGCAAACTCTGGTTCCAACAACGTCGGCGTTCTCTTGCATTGTTAAGACTGATCGATGAACTAACTTCTATTTATTCATTAACATTTTACTACTCTACTAAGCACATTACTCTTGTAAAACATTACACAATACAAACTAACATTTATCTTCACTCTATATTAAGAATTTCAACAAAACTTTACGATCATGAATACTGTCGATAAATACATCATTATACATTGAACAGTAATTCATTCATCAATAATAATACTCCTAGTTATAAACATTTCTCAAAGCATAAAACTAAATATGTTATGGTTATCGAGACTTCAAAATATTTATTTTGAATCGGTAAAACAATATAGAAAAGCGTCATTAGCTTAAAATATTTCTCTCATTTATCGATAAGAACGTTTCTAAATATGAACGATCAATAAAATGTAACGTTGAAAACAAATAAACAAGCTGCTGTTAATTCCAAGAGGGAAAAGTATATTTGAGGATGTGAGCGTAGATATGAGGATAAAGAGAACGGTACGAGTGTGGATCTTTCTCAATCTCCACACTCACTCATACTCATACCCTCAACTAGATAATAAGATAGCTAATAATAGATCTTTTTCATTCTTTCTAAAATATTACATCATACGAAATCCATTCTTGATCAGATTTTGGTTTAGTATATCAAAAGAAAGACTTAAAAATAATAATTGCTATTTAATCGAAATTAATCTTAGTTTAAAACGTCAGCAAATTTTCTGACGTTCTCTTTTTTCATATAAATCTTCAATAATATAGAATAGTATTAATAAAGAAATGAATTTTATTATTTTTGTGATACATAGTTTATATTAACGATTAAAGTTATTTTTAATGAAAACATTTTGTTATAAACAAAAAAAAATTATTTACTTTGTCATATAACAATATTACTTAGTGTTGGTCATTTTATGCGACTTTTCAAGGAAGAACAATTAATCTACTGTTAGAATATTAGATAATCAAATTTATCAATCATTTTTTTGAAAAACAAATGGAGGAACTTGGTTTGAAAAAGATACAGTTATTATTATTTTTATTTTTATCATTATTTTATTTTTAAAACGTCGATTCTTTTCATCTGAATTATGTTTTATTCGAATAATTAAAAAAATATATATTTATAAATAGAGTGAGATTTTAATTAAAATTATCAAGTTTTATTTATTATCATTGTTTAATCCCTTCCAGTAGGCTCCTAGAAGTCACATAGTAAGAAAATCTTTCATTATATTTTTATTATGTAGATCTTGAGGATGTGAGTGTAAATATGGGTTCGAGAGAAAATGAGTGCAATTCATGAGAAAACACAGACATTTATGAAGTAAGAGTGATAACACGTAAAAACAATATATCTTCGCATTTCAAAGAAAGCAAAAAGAAAATGTTTTTCTATAGGTTTTTCTTAAAATATATTGTGATACATCGCGGATTTACATCGAGTAGGAAGGTCTGAAAAGATAATGAGAATAAAGACTATTAAAATTTACAAATTTTTAGTTCTATTTCTTGTTCTTTTGTCTATTGTTCGTATTCCAGCAACACCCAGTTGACTTGGATCAACTTGATTCGGTCGGAAACAGAATAATATTCGGGCTTTTACTTTTCGACGAAAACGATTTGATGACGTCAAAAATATGTAACAATTTGCCTAAAAATAAATTCTTCAACTATTTTACAAACAACTAATAAACATACTGCATAATAGATATACGATAACAAAGTAGTCATCATTGAAATAAAACTTTCAATATTTAATCTATATGAATCTTTACTAATATTTGATGTAATTTGACTATAAGCAATATTAATACCATACGGTATAAAAGTAATAAAAGCAGAGATTGCTTGAGATAAAATCATTCTTATTAATTGACGATCCGCTTGTTGTTCAGTAAGAATTCTTATCGAATTAATATTATAATATGTTAGATATCCAAATATAATCATTATTATAACTGGAATAAAACAAAGAACAGCTGTACCATATATTGGAGTATAAATAGCATAACCAGGGTTAGTGTTTATACATGTTTTTGTAACTGATGAAATATTATAAAATAAAAGAATTGGAATTCCATGAAGACACGATATTAATGAAATAGTTAATAATATTCGGTATGTCAATTTTATATTACTAAATCGTCGAAGATTTGCATTTCGTGATGTAACAAGAAATTGATCAATTGTTGCTAAACATGAACAACTTAATGAAATTAAAGTAACGCTATTACCAATATAGACTCTTAGTTTACACCAACTAACTGATGTTTTTGTTAAATCAATTCCATAACCTGTACTAACAATACGAGAAATAAGATTATTTGCTAAATAAATAATATTAAATATTGAAGCAATAAGAAAATAAAATGTACATGGAGTTGTACGATAATTACGAACACTTGAAAAGACTAATATAGACATTAGATTTCCAGATGAGCCAGTGATAAAAATAAATATACCACCATAAATTGTAATTTGTTGACCAATGTATATTAATGACATAATGAATATATTTTACTTTGAATGACGTTTAGTAATTTATAAAGAAAGAATGTTCTTATGCTTCAATATATGAAGAAAATAATGATATAATGTACTGAACTATATGTTCTACACTTTTTTCTTTTGATGTAAAATATGAGCTTATTCTAGAAAAAAAAAATTTAATTAAAATTATAAGATAATAAAAAAGAAGTGAAGTGTAACCTTAAGTTATTATATCTGCACGAAAGAAGAGAAGCAATTATTAATTATTTTTGTTAGATAATATATTATCCAATGTTAATAAATATTTTATTAATACTGCATTCTCTTCTGTGTTTGTATCCTTAGAAATCATAAATATCCAAGGGGATGGTGGGGAAGGGAGGCTTCATTTAAATAGTGAAAATTAAGGTTTAGGTATAATATAAAATAAATTCAAGAGTTTAAAAGTATAGGTAGTCATGTTCTCTTTGTCCTTGGATTACTATAAATGAATTTAACATTAACGTAATCACGTTGAGATTTTTTAACAAGTATGAAAGACTTGCACAATGAACTTTATTAAATAGAATGACAGTATTTGAAATAAGAAAATGTAGAGGAACTATAAGTATAAGTTAGGGAGCATTTTAAAATCTTTGCTGATCGCCCGGCCGTTCAGTCGCTCTGGCATCCCGCCGACACTTTGTAGAAAAAGAGAAAAAAAAGAGGAGAAAACAGATGTGTAGTCTTGGCTTGTAAAATATTGATAAACGTTCACACGAGCGATAAATTAGTGTTTTGTTGTCAGCTTTCAGTACTGACATGACCAATTTGAAAAATAAATAGTGTGTTTTTGGTGATAATTATGGTTGTGCAACTCGTATTTTGCCGACCTCTGAAAGAGAGGCTTATGAAAAAACTTAAAAAAGGCGTAATAGTTCTTACAAAACTATTCTAGTGTGATATCTCGTCAATCGAATACGTATAGATAAGGAATTGAAAATTACAAATATTGTTAACGTGAAAATTTATTTTCCTTTGGTAGTAGTTAAACAGCATCTAGCTACAACAGTATTCATTTTATGAAATCATTATGAATTCTACAGAAATTGATTAATACAAGTAAATCGTGTAAGAGAAAATAATTTTGATTTCTGAATATACTGTAATCCTGAAAGAGAAAACATGCGATAAGTTTTTGAAATTCGGAGCGCATCGTCAGTAATTCACCTTCAAGATTACCGATCAAACGAATTTCTAATTCTTTTGGTCTTTCGATCAAGCTGTACAAGAATTTTAAATAAGTATAATTTTACATTGATATTAGCTAATCCGATCAATCATTAACAAATCAAACATCATATTGAAATTGTTCACAATTAGTATCGGTGTCTGTTCGGTACTTACCATAGACTCACCCTGCATTTTCAATTATTTTTGAGATAGAGAAGCTAAAGCTTTGATAAAAAATATGACATTTTATGTAGAATATTCTGACTGATCTTTTCCGACATATATAGTAAAGACACTATAATTAGTTCTTTTCTTTGAGTTTTTTGGAAGAAATAAACTCATGATTTTATACGAAAGACAACGGTAAAGACCACTTTCTGTTAGAATTTTCTCACGATAGACTGTAAGAACTCTCTCACGAAAAGTTAAAAGTTTTAGAAGAAAAGCCAAGATTTTTAACAGAAGAAGATTGTCGACATTTCCTTCTTGGTCAGGAATTCTGGCCTCTACTTCGAACATTTTCAGTCTTGTTACTGACTTTATTGATTCGAGATCGATTGATTTATCGAAATGAACTGACATTATTGATTATTTTTTCCTAATTCTTTAGTTTTTTTAAAAAAGAGGAGGAATGAGATGCCAATCCTTTTTTGGTACAAACACTTTGAAAAAAAACATGTTTATCAAAAAATTAAATAAGGCTAATTTGTGAAACTAACGATGAAAGCCATCTTTTCACGACTTTTTTTTACCAATGAAAGTAATCTATATTTCTTTTAACCCTTTGGTTAAGAGGTTGTTTTTTATTAAGATAGGTATTTTATTTTTCGTTTCAAAACAGTTTTGAATAAATTTTATTAGCATATTGTATGATTGCAAATTATACAAGATCTTTGCGCAATATTTCGTGTTGGATCTCATGAGAATTATTATTTATAGACGTTGTCATATTCAGCGAAAGATTTTACGTAATAAATACACATATAACTATACGGGATGATGACACAATAATGTTGCCAAGATAAGAGAAAATGAGAGGAGTCTTTTCGATGAAGCCTAAATAACATTATAATGACGATAATATGTGCACAAGTTCGACACGCATATGTGCATGTCCTGTAACCAAATGGTTCATTCGAACATAAAAATACATGTTTTAATTATCTAACAAATGTTTTTCTCTTCTTTAATTGCATCTTTCCCATATATATATATTTGAAACAACAGTGCCTATTGTCACGTTTCTATTGTCATGCAAATAGTGGAAGAAGATGAAATATCACGAATCTTCCAAGCAAAATTCTGGATTATGCTTACCTTATCAAGTGTATCTATCACTTGATCAGTTTTTATTTTTATTTATTTCTATCGATAGCGCAAAAACCTCTCAATACATCAACATCTAACGCTTGTGTTCATTAAGTGTTGTATTTATATGAGTTACGGCTTGAAGTTCGACTGAACGACATTTACTTATATTTTATAGTGGTTTGATGTCAACAAGTACGAAACGACTCCTCTTTCATATACTACCCTTGTTAGGTGTATTTATTTATCCGATGATTGATTTCCATAGACAATCAACAATATTGTCTATATGTATACGTTATCATCGGTATCATTTAGCTGAAAAGTGAAATATTTGCTTTCTCTCACTGCTTTATTGAATATGATCCTTCCAATGATTTCATTGTTTTTTCTATCAGATTTTAGAAAAATAGTTTTTAGATTCTGAGGAATCATTATTGTGCCTGAAACTCTAAATATTCAGGCACTGGCGACTACAAACATAGGTTTTCAGTAACACAATAGTGATATGAACATTATGGATTTCAGAAACAAATTCTTTTTATAGATGTTGTCAGTCAATACCTATTCGCACTTATGTTTGCAAGATGCTTTTTGTGTTGTTTTCAACTCTAATAAAAGAAAAAGCGTAGGGTGTGTGTGTGTGGGGTTGACTCACAGTACACCCACATCCACACCCCATACTCATACCCACACCACACACCCATTCATCCTCACCCGCGTAAATATAATATCTAAAATAGCCACTCGATATCTTTAAATAGATAAACTGTCAAAGGAATATGTCTGTAGTATGGTTTATTTTACTAGTTTATTACGAATACAATGGCATTGATGTCGAATAATTCGATAGATCATTTCAGCAATTTCCATCAACGAGAGGAAACTAATTCCAATCCACAGACCAGTTTGACCACCAACATTAGAGATCACATCCACCGCAGTTATTGTTGCTTGTTGTGTATAGACTTCTACTCGAGTCGATTCACAGACAACAGCAATACCAACATAATTCAATCGTATGTCTTCCAGCCAAGTTTCGTTCCAAGTTGGAGTTACTGGAACTGCAGATGTTTCGACAAACTTCCTGATCTCATGACTATACCATTGAGCGGGCGTTGCAATAGCAGATAGTTTAACGACAAATTCATTAGTGGTACATTCTAGACCACAAGCTGCACCATAACTGAGTGAAATAGAATCAGAATCTCGAAATCGATCAGCTGCATCAGAATAGCAAGAATCGGATGCATCACATAACCGGGCATGGACAACATAGTTTGTTCCTGTAGGAATAATATAACGAGCTGCCCATTCATACGGACTGACACAACCACATTCATCATATCTATTCATAATAAATATCAATGACAGAATCGATTTATTATTTATACGTACGTATAGGTCTGCAATGCAACTTTGAAACATAACTCTTGTGCATAAGCATAGGTAATTCCTTCGAATTGATCAAACATTGCTTGTAACCCAGGTGGAACTTTGTCATTACATGTTGTATAAGGTGGTGGCAATAGATAATTGACTTTCTTACTATAACCCAGTTTATACTTTCGTCCAGGTACTAACTGTGTGTTTAACCTATCAATTAGAGGTAATTGTGTGTTGTCATGTACCATTGCCACAACGCCTATACCTGCATAAAAAGATTTTTGTATGAGTAACAAATGATCAAGTTCATACGCTTACCATCAGAGATAAATGGAACATACATATGACCATGAGTATAGAGTCCTAATTCCAGTTCACCACTATCGCCATGTTCATTATTATAATGTACTTCACCATTGTTAATGTGTTTGGCTTGTGCATTGAATGTATAACAGAGACCATAGACAGGTGAAGTAAACTGAATGAAATCGGTAACTGAACAATTCACACCATTGTAAGTACATTTGACTAACATTGATTCAAGTGAAAAATAAAAATCAATTAATGATTCATTTCGATTGAGTTTATCTTGTAGAAAACCGTCGATATATAGTGCTTGTGTTGGAGACATGGGAGTTGAATCGGTCAGATTTGTTAGATTGAGTGAATTGGTATAGGTTGTGAACGATTCAATGAATCGATCATAGCGTATTGGAGAATAATTACAAAATGTCACTGCTGGAAATACTTGTGGCCATTGACCAACAAAGTCTACTGATGTTTGTGTAGGATACTTGAAATATTCTCTGATGGCTTGGATAATAAAATAAAACATGATACCAGTATAGATAAGAAATGAAACAGTCCAAAAGAGACGATTATGAATACTTTCACTGCGAGCTATACCAGGAATACCGTGCATAGAAGTATTCAAACTGAATTCTTTAACAATCGGGCCAGTTTGACGTGTTTTTGGATCGAGTTTTAAAGCTTCAGCATCGATTTTAAATACCGAGGTTATCTGTTCGATCGTACCGCTTGATGTTTTCGATTTGTTGTCGTGTAGTGGCATGCTGAGTTTGTCAAAGAATGTCTCCCTTTTGAAGAAAATCAGTCAATAATTTGACGTGTAGCTGTATGCTTCTTATTTATATAAGAAATATTCAGCACGAAATGACCTATTTTTTATTGTCAAATAAAATTATAAACGTGGGTAGTTCGAAAACTGCTACAAAATCGGTACAATTCATGACATAGATTAAAAGAATACTATTTAATCAAACAGGCTTGGTTTCATTCATCTATGTTGTTTTTAAAGTTATGATAAATAAAAGGTTTCTTTTAATGATCGGTTATTATCAAAATTGCAAAATAAATACTTCGTTTCAAGTACTACATATTAGTGATACCATATTGATTTTTATCCAGGTGGCAGGCGTTGGTAGCACTCTCATACAAATCAAAATTATTAGCATATACTTACGATCTATGTCGTAAGAAACAAAGTGTAGAAATGTATAGATTGATATTTATTTTTCGTCAAGTTTGCTAACGAACTTAAAAAGTAAAAAAAAGAAAAAATTAATTTATATCCATTAATCTCCTCAGAATGCTTTCAGTTCTTTTTCTTACGATACATATACCAGTATCTTTTGATTTTTTCGTTCTGTTCTCTGTTTGTTTTCATTCATCAATCAACGTTATAGCTGTGCTCGTGATATCCAATATTCACGTACGGTGATGTAGTGAGTCAGCAAAACATCTTGAGGGTGTGCGTGTGAGTTAATGTAATCATCCGATACACACACTCAAACCCAGACTCACACCCGTGAATGAGTAGTATGTAAAACTGTTGTTACCTAATGTAGTTGTTACTAACTTAAAACATAATACAAAATACATTGTCGTTAGAATCCAATGCAAGTATATAAGTTCGACTAGTATCATAACGTTATTTGAATCTCTTCCTTCTATAGTGTTTCTTTCATACTGTTTCTGTTTGGCCTTTACTAATAAGCACTTTTCTCTTCATAGTTCCATGCAAACATCAATAACGTATAGTATTATTTCTTCGTAAAAAAACGAAAGCGCGCAGATAATGGCGTTGTTCGGTTACTTACTAATGGAACAAAACTTCGCAATACTTCTATTTCATAATAAAATATAATTCATATTCTATAAGCTGGTAGTTTTTATTTTGCTTAGAATCTATTAAAAATATAACTGCAATTCTCTTCCGCAATACATATTTCAAGTTTTATAATTTAATTCTCAATCACAATCGGGTGTGGGTATGAATAAAGAAAATATTAGCTCACCGAGGGTGTGGGTGAGGGTGTGAATGTAAGGGTGGGTATCCTTTTCATTCCACATCCATGCCCACCGACTCTACAGGCTCAGAGCTGAACCTAGACTCAGATCTAAACCTGGACCCAAATCCAGACCCAGACGCACACTCACCAACATCCATATCCACACCCACTCTCAAGATGATTCTTTTTCTTTTCTTTTTATAAGTAAGTATAGTATGCACGTAGATGAGCACTCATATTTTTGAAAATCATTGTAAGGATCATTTTCTAAAGAATTCAAACAAAACAATCTTCTTTTCTAGTGGTCGCATAATGAAAGCAAACATCTTATATAATTGTGTTGGAAATTGTCGACTAGATCAATCTTATCAGCGCACAATGGGTTTTGGAGGATGTGGGTGACAATTTAATGGCAAGAATAAAAAAAGAACAATTTTATTCGTATCCATCTTTATTTTCAAGATGATAAAATTCTAGTATTAAATTGACGGTGTTATTTGATTTTTTTGATATGCAAAGATCATCGAAATGAATTCAATGCAAAAATTAAGAGTCATTAGTGAGTTGATAACGATGGAATTAATAGAGCCGTTGAAGCCAATTCCATATGTGATGAAGGAGACAGCGAAGGCTGCTAGTATACTAATAATTAGCAAAAAATGGGCAATAAATATGATAAGGCTTGAGGAAATTGGTCTTGTGGTCGTTTCGCCTGTATAAAGATTACGCTCTAGTATGTTATAACGTTTGCCACAACAGTAACCTATAAATAATATTACACAACAAATCGCCATTAGAAAGAAAAGGCCTATATTCATAGAAGGGGAAGATGACAACGTGAAATCTATTAAAATCGACATATTTAATTGCATACAGCCTTGCTTGTAGTCGATTACCGTGAATAGAAAGTAGCACGGTGCATATATTACACGAGATAAGTTCATCATTAAACGCTTAAAAAAATTAGATTTTTTGCTCCAGCTACGGCCGACATAAATTGTAATAACGTATTTCATGATAAATAATCCGATAATTATAACACTTCCTATCCAATATTCCCAAATAAGATATTTGCGTTTCTCCATGTTTTCACTACTTTTACCTATATAATCCATAATTAATTCAGCTTCACCTTTCGTAAATTTCGTACACAAGTTAGTGTTAACGAGCGAATAGTCGACGTCTTTCTTATATATAGTACCATTTTCAAATTCATATTCAGCATTATTATATGGCAGATAGCTCATGAAAAGAGAAAATATAATAATGGTCACAGTGATCAGCACTTGTGGTACTTCAAATAATAGAATAATGGCCGTTGTAGATCTCATCTGTCGTGCGCTACAACTGTTGTCATTAAATTAAAATATGCTTTGTAAAAAGTTTGTAAAAACAAAATTCTTTGAATAAGACATTATATATCACAGAAAACGAGAACTCTTTGTTTTATTTAGATAAGATATCAAATGGCCAACTCTATTCGGCTGTTAATCAAATACAAATGACGTATTTTTACGAAAAAAAAGAGATTTAATCATATACTATTTTAGACATATTCTACTGTATATGTGCCATATAGTGAACATCTCACAGTAGTAAACATTGCAGCCTGAAATATTTAACCAATTTTGAGAGATGATATGCATGAGAACAATATACAATAGTGGCAATGCTGCCTATATCCTCACCGACACTCTCATATAGGATATCATTTCATGAGAATCAAAGCATCTACCTTTCTCCATTCGTAGAAAAATATACTTTTTCGCGGAATTCTACAACTTGACGATCAACATATATATGTATAGAATCAACGTACTAATGTAGAACCATACGGTTCACCTGTTTCCTCAGGTATCGATAAGCAACAAACAACAATGCAAAAGATTAGTGGAATAATTCGTTGAATCGTTTTCTTCGCTTTAATGATATAGCAGAATGTGAGTGTACTATGCATCATTTGTTGAACATCGAGCGTATTGAAAAATATTTTCACATTATTGTGATTTGATTTGAACTATTAATAAGAAAATTTCATTAGATAAACAAGTATCGTGGAACAACGTACCTAAAAGGCAAGAACAAAAAA